GGGGGAGGAATGCCATGGAGCAATGAGTTCAAATCAGTTCTGGAAATGTTTTTGATTTGGGGTGAAGATAGAAAAAGAAAATGGCTAGGCCAAGAGGTTGGTCTGATTAAATGCTACCCTTTCAAGCTAGAGGATTTAATCTGATGTTTTGATGACTTCTCATCAGCTTGTTATTGGCTTCTTAGCCATTGTCTATGTTCTTTGCTGAGCTGGGGTAGACCAGGAAGGGATTTATGCTTGTCAAGGGGTAGAATGTTCTTTGGCTTAGGTTATTTTAAGTAAAATTTTGAACAGATGACCCTAAGTCACACTGATGGCTTAGGTTATTTGAAGTGAAATTCTGAACAGATGACCCACTGAATTTGACCTGCACCCATCCATATCATTTGGGGATGCCTAGGTGAGGCTAGGCACTCTATTTGGTCACATGGAAACTGGAGCAGTTACCCTGTGGATTATGGAACTTCGAATTTTCAGCAACTTCAATTTAACCTCTTTCAATATTAGTTGTTGTACATGGTAGAAACACCACAAATGCCACTAGTTTGATTATTTGAAGATGTGATGTATGTAGCTGTTGTTGGTGAAACAATGATCTTGACATCTTGTCTTGTTTTTCAATCATGAAATGGTAAATAATGAAGATGATGATGATAATTAATTGTCAACATCTTCTGAAGGAATCTATGCTCCCTTCAATGAAGCTTTGGTTCAGGACTCATATTTTATCCATGATATCAAACCTCTACATCGAGGTTCTAGAGCCACATTTTGATGCTTCACAGTCCATGTTCAAGAGAAATAATTTGGATCTTTCATAAGTTTGGATATTTTTATAAGTTCATCAAGGCATCTAAAGCCAATTCAACTTAACTCAACCAAGTCTTATTACCAACTATATGGTGTTGGCTACATGAATCCTGTTCTTCCATTCCTCTCTGTTGAGTCATTAGTGCCATATGTATTGTTAAATTATGGGCTATTAAATCATTTCTCACACTCAGGGTGCCACCTAATGCAAAATCATTGAAATCCCTGCCAGATTTCCTATTTATAATTTGCATTTTGGGTTAATTACTTAAATAATACCCTAGAATTTGACAAAACTACTCAAATATGTCTTGTACTTTTCAGAACTACTTAAAGCATTCGAGGTTTCAAAACTACTCAAATGTGCCTTATTAAAGCATTCGAGGTTAAGATTGACGGAAAATAAATAAAAAGACAAAAATGCCCTGAACTATTCATTAAATGTTCGAAACAATTACCATAGTCACACCTGCTAAAACCTCACTCTCATTTTAGTCATCATTTTGGGTTCCTCCATGAACCCCTCCCAAGGCTTTCTTGCCTTTTTATTATACAGAATGAAGAAACAATGGCCGTTGGAGAGTAGTTGAGGCAAAACTTGGCAGTCAAATCGATGTTGCAGCACTAAACACCAAACCACAATTGCCTATTCTCTTCTTGGTCATCATCCTCATGTCCTTGTTCACATTCCCAGCATAGAGCTTCTTCTATTTGTGAACCATAGATGCACACACCTACCCCCCCAATTTTTTTTTTTTTTTGTTCTTGGGGGTAGGTGGGTGATGCCTCCACAAACCGAGGGGCTTTTCGACCCTACAACTTTTAGGTGGCCTAAGAGAAGAGGTACAATTTTACAATGATGTGTTAGGGCTTCTCTAGCATGGACAGTTTGGGAGGAAAGAAATAACAGAATTTTTAATGATAAAGAAAGGGATGTAGATACTGTTTGGGAATGTCTGCTAATAAGGGCTATAAGCTGGGCCAAATCTTTAGATTTATTCTCACTTTACTCCTTTGATGACATAGAGAGAAACTGGGTATCTGTTGCAAATTCTTCTTCGGTTAAGGATAAACCTGTTGTACATTGGAAGCAACCAGAAGAAGGTTTCATAAAGTTCAATTTTGATGGCAGCAGCATTGGCAATCCTGGACCCTGTGGCATTGGGGGTGTCTTTAGGAATGAAGAGGGACAGATTGCGGCCTTATTTTCGGGCCCAATTGTTGTGGGGGATGCAGTTAGTGCAGAGGTGCAAGCTGCTCTACAGGGAGCACAGATTGCTAAAGAACTGAACTTTAGGARATTGATCATTGAAGGTGACTCTAGAGTGGTAACTGGGTGGCTGAAAGAACAGAGAGTAGCATGGTCTTTTAGGGGAGAAATGAAAAGATTCAAATGGCTTAMCTCTAATCTCACAGTTAGAGTTCAGTGGGAGAGGAGGTCAGCAAACGGGATGGCTGACCTACTAGCTAAGCAAGGGGTGAACAAGGATCATTTATTCTGGGCTCATTTGTAATTTTACTTTGTTTTCGAGGCAGCAACTCCCTCCTCCTGAGAGATATCAGCTTTGTAAGAATTTGTCTGCTTATATTATTATTAATAAAATTCTTGATCATCCATAAAAAAAACCATAGATGCGCACACCCCAACACAGAAGTTATCATTTATTGTCTTCAGCATGCTTCTTCGACCAATTGGAATTATTGCAGTATGATATCTTGTCGGGAGAGTAGAGGATATAAGGATGGGCTGATGGCTGAGCACTCGCATGTCACTGTAGGGTGGACACCCACCTCTGGGCACCAAAGCCCATGCCAGTTCTCAGCAAGGGGTGGTAAATCTGGTGAATTGCACTCTCGCCATACACTACATGTTCCACCCAAGTCACCTTGGAGTACCCATKGGGCATATCCTACACAATACAACTGGGTGAAAGTCTCCTGTAGCTCACAAAAATGGGCTCATTTGAAGTTTATCAGATGATGTGGTTGATTGACACATCCACCATAGATTCTAGTTTGAAGTGGAAGCTTCTACTTCCACCTATCCAATAGATTCTAGTTTCAAGCCACTTATAATTATATTTTACCTCCGAAAAAGGAGGAGCTTTCAGAGGAAGCACAGGTAAGTTTGTCTCCTTTCTTCTTTGCCTACTGCTGTTTTGATGCTAAGGACTCCTCTCCTTTCTGTTCTCTTTATTTTTAAGTGACAAAACAYGGGATCTGCTACTATCTTTTCTCATTATTTTTGTAAAAACAGGGGTGGTGGGATGTTAAGAATCCAGGAGCGTATATCAGGGATACAGCAAGAAGCCATGGTGGACTTTGACTTTTTAGCTTAAAAAAACACTTGGAAGAAGTCAAGTGTATGAAACTCTAGATCTTGAACAACTCACCATAGCTAGAGGTGGAAGACGATAAGAGCTCAAGGAAACAAGATAATGGGGGCAAAATTGGAATATAAACAAAATATTAGTCTAATTAGACTCGGTCCAAACGGCTTAAAACGTTTCACTAACAGGACCTATTTGTGTGAATGGGACCATTTCATAAAGCATATTGAAGTAATTATAAAAACCATAGGGTATATGTAAGTAGTTTAATGAAATCACAGGGTTTATTAAGTAATTAACCCTTGCATTTTTTATTAGTTTGGATTTCTTATTTTATGCTTGTTGCAAAGAAATGAAACCATTTGAAGGAACCTAGGAGCATCTCCAATAGGTGATAAAATGAGAGAAAGTAGAGTAAGATGGTTTGGTCACATACATAGAAGACCATCTTCAGCACCTGTAAGAAGCAATCTTTTGCAAGCTTTTTTTTTTTTTTTTTTTCTTGATAAGCAACAGTAAGATTTTCTTAACAAAAACAGCCACATTACTAAAAAAACAGCAGGCGTAAATAGGTACAAACAAGGTTCAAAATTTCGATACAATACACCTCCGTATCAGGCGTATCGTATTGTATCAGTAGCTCTCCGAAACTGCAAATAAGGGGTATTTCGGAATTTGGCCACTTTCAGGGGGTAGGCATGCCTAAAACCTACCCCCTGAAACAATTTTGAGAAAAAAACAAAAAAAAAAGTTATGAAGTACCGAAACACCCGATACACCTGTTAGTGCATATCGATACTTTAAACCATGGGTACAAATAGGCTATCAAAACTGCAAGCTAGCTCCTGCCACAAGAAGCTCTAAACACAGAAATATAAGGAAAAACAAAAGACAAACTTATTGAATGAACTATTCAATAAGAAGCCCAAATATTGTGCTTGTCATACCAGTGACCTAACCTTCCATGGAATTAAATCTTGTTTTCCCATCCAAGAGATTATAGTTTGACAGTTACCTTCAACCTCTACATTCTTCAGTTTTTTTGGATCAATTACATTCTTCTGTTCTTTCACTTGCAACAGTTCCAATCCCTGAATCAGTGCCTTCAGTTCAGCTCTTAAAGAATTCCCGATACCTAGAGGCCTGGAATATCCAAGTAAATGCTTCCATTATGATCCCTGATTACACCCCCAATACCTGAAATTTTGGGGTTCCCAAGGCAAAAGCCATCAAGCTATCTATTGCAAGTTGCCAAGTTGAAGGGGCTAGAAGGGCTTGGAGCAGAGAAAAAGGACATGAGTTGAAGTAGTAAGAAATGATTTAAGCTCTCATAATTTAGCAATGGATATGGCACTAAATAGACCAAATGGCAAAACAAGATTCATGTAGCCGACCCCATACAGTTCACATAATGCTTAGATGGTGATGATGATATTCCTTTAAGGGATTTTACATGCTCCATTTGTAAGTTTATCTGGTTGTTGAACATGTGTAGGATTTGTGCTGGATGCAATACTGAGATTGGTCATGGGCGGTTTTTGAGTTGCATGGGTGCAGTTTGGCACCCCGAGTGTTTCCRCTGTCATGCTTGTAATCTTCCAATTTCTGATTATGAGGTGAGAAACCAGTTCGTATTTATTGCCTTCCTATATCATACTTGGTTAAGCCCATATTATGAATTTATTCTCTATGATTATGGTGTCTCTTTTACAGTAATAGAAGTATCATGGGATTATTGTAGAGCATTGGCTAATTTTTTGTTTCTGATATTCTTCTGTAGTTTTCCATGCATGGTAATTATCCTTATCACAAATCTTGCTACAAGGAAAACTATCACCCAAAATGTGATGTCTGCAAGCACTTTGTAAGTATCAATTCTGTGTCAAGGTGATGTCCTGTTTGAGTTCCTATCTAATGACGAGCAATTTTTTTTTTCATATGTCCTTCAATGTCCTATATGAATTTATATATTTTATACAGTTATTAATATATGCTGTATAAGATTTTTTTGAGGTAGTGCTTGTTTTGCTGTAAAAGGGGAGAAAAATAAGATGTCACTATAAAAACGGTAAAATATAGATGAAAGAAATATTTGAGAATGAGATCCTTTTTTTTGTCAAAAATAAAAAGAGCTGAAGGGAACAGTCCCTTGTATTGCTTTTTTGATAATTAATTCCTAAGAGCTTATTTTGATGCAAATGAATCTGGGTAAAGCTTAACAATTTGAAAAAAAACTGAGCAAAGCTTGGATGCAATCGTACAACGAACTCCTAGTTCAGAAAATGATTAGAAGTATTGTGCATATGAGGATCTCTAAGAACAAACTTTTTWTGATAAGCAATGATCAATTGCTGTATGAGGTTCTGTATTTCTGCCTTTTAGTTGATTTTGTATTCTTTTACAGTACCATTTCTTTTTTCTGCTATGACATGGTTGCTGCCATGCAGTGGACGTTATGTGTGAATTTGCAATCAATTCATGTATGAAGCTGTGACATATTATAGGGATACCCTAGTAGTTTTTGACCTTTCATTTATATTAATGAGGGATGACTTGTACTTTAATCCTCCTTTGACAGACTCTTAGCAATGTCACCATTCTGTTCCAACACCCTTTCATCTGTTTTTTCTGATGGGGTTCACAACTTAATCTTAAGAACAAACAATAAATGAAAACCTATACCAGTCCCTTAAAATTGAAATAGCATATGCAACGAAAGGTATGTGTTAAAATAATTTAGTTGCTGATGTTAGGGTCTGTTTGGCTAATTAAAGTGTTTTTTATTTCGTTTTTTTTCTGTTATGTCTGTTATTGTACTCAGGGGCACAAGGGTCTTTTCCCTTGTTATTTCTACCGCCCTATATATATTAAAATAAAGGCTGGCGCTGCCTGCACTGTTACATTGCAAAACCCTTCTTTCTTCTCTCCTCTCTTCTCTTCTCTTCTCTTCTTCTCCTCTTCTCTTCCCTTCTCTTCCTCTTATTTCTGGCCGGCCATACTGTCAAGATGGTATCAGAGCGGGAATACTGATTAAAGAGAGCAGATCGAACAACCTTACTGAGAGAACAGATCGAACAGACTTGCT